AAGTAACCAAAAGCATCTAAAAAGGTTTTGAGATGAACCTTTACCAAAACGAGGGTCAAGCCTTGGGTCTAGCCAAGAGGTGGTCTTGTTCTTATGGTTTATATAGTAAATTTCTCCATCCTGAGTCATGGCTTGTTCCCATCCATCAGGAAGAGGACCTATAATACAGAAAAAAAAAAAAAAAACAATGGTTGGTTTTTATTTGCTGCCCTAAAAAAAAGTGGAAGGGGGGCTAATTTAAAAACAAAACACATCTTAACAAGAAACAATTCATTGAAACATATTTAAAGCTGCGTTCAGAGAAGAAAGGTAAAACTATATACCCACTTCTTCTCCACTAAAAAAAAAAACAAAAAACACCAAATAATAAAATGAACATTCCTAAACACAAAGATAAAGAAAGAAAATTTTTTTTTTCAAAAAAGCCTTTTGGAGGTCATGGCCCAAATTATTATTACTGTTAACCTAAGACATGGAAGAGCTTGCAGCTCAGAAACTACAATCAATTTTGTGAAAATACCTTCCTAGGAACTCCAAGGTTCTTTAATAACAAATATATGGAAGTATTTTTAGAACATCGAAAATATCATAAACATTCTATTTAATATAAAGCACACTTTAGCTAAGACAGCCAAGCTCCATTTATTTCCAAGTTTTATATGACTGACTCACATGAAGAAAGCTGTAAGACAAGAAACTACAGTCCAAACAAACCTTATTTTTAAGCAGGCCAGACATTACTAATGGGTGGGGGTTGCAGTTTGAAGTTTAAGCTTGTTGGAGGCTTGGAAGGAGGCAAAGTAGGTGCTGAAGTTGTTGGAAGGCAAATTACTCAGCAACAAACAGCTTTGAATGTTTCAAAGCTGTAGAGTAAGGAAACATCATCTGAGAGATAGGACTAAAGACTACAGTTAACTCTAAAAGGATTTTCCTATCTTTAAGGGGATAGAGAAGTTAAGACAATTACTCTTGGGAGGTAACAGCAATGAAAAGAGAAGCCCAGAATAAATTACTGAAGTATTCAAATATAATTCATCCTTATCTCCTTGTCCCTCCCAACTCCCCCAGTTCCCACTTCTAACAGGAATCAAAAGAGGCAGGGAAGGAGACACAAACTGGGATAGTCAGTACATGGCTAAAATCTTTTCTGTGGACTAACATGAATTGAACACTTATCTTGTGTCAGTCACTGTTCCTATATATTATGCACATTAACTCATTTAATCCTTACAATAACAAATGACATAAGCAATAGTACTACTTATTCTAATGAGGAAATTGAGGCACAAAGTGACAGTCTGATCAGTCTGGTACAAGATCACAAAGCTAGTTAGTATAAGGAAGGATATGCAAACCCAGGCAGACCGATTCCTAATCCACCGATTCCTAATCCACTGTTCTTCACAATTAACTTCTTCTCATTCATATCCCACAGATGACCAGAGCCTTAAGTATGCCTTCTATGCACAAATACAAAAATTCCCTTCCTCCTGTATTGGCAGTCCACGACGACCTCACGGGTGATGCTGAATAAGTAACTTTGGTTAAACTGACCACTCACACAAGGCCCATGGGACCCAAAGCCCTAATTTTAGGCCAGTTTCATTTGTATTAGGAACAGATCAATTTGCAGCTGCATTTTCAAAGGTCTACTTAAATGGGGTAAAATCCTGTTAGGAAACGCAGACGTGTGGAATTAGTTTGCTATATGCCTAGAATCCTTAAAAGGAAGGCTCCCCTTCAGTCCTGTATGTGGAGCTCTGTACACAACGCTAACCAAGTCCAGAGTTGGAATTTGGAGTACACATCCCAAGTTTACTAGAGGGTGAATGAGAAGCAAACCTGTTTAACACATGTATCAAACCTTTTCTCATCAGCTTTCACTGTCACTTTGGGCTCTGTTTCCCCACCAGAAAGACAGAACTCCAAAAACTGAATATTAATGATTTGCTACTACCATTAGTTATAAAATGGCTCAACCATAAAATGTTTTCACAAAACAACTGTATTTAAAATTTTTAAGTGCTGAACATACCATGTGACTATATATGGTGATGAACAAGTCAAAAGCAGTCACTGAATGCCTTTGGGAGCCTCAACTCAACAACCTCAAAAGATCTCATAGCTTTCAAACTTGCTTGAATGTATGAATTTTGTATGTGTGGTTTGAAAAAAAAAAATCCCGAAAAACAAAAACCCCCACCCCCACCAAAAAAACCAGCATCACTCTCCACTTTAGCTCTCTGAATTAGAGCCACAAGAGATATCTTGGATACAAACCAATCTTCCCTACCTGATCCACTCACTTCATTTTGTAAATTCCACTTACATTCTCTCTGATGGGTCTGTTGTGGTCCATCTCAGAGAGCTCAGCATCGATACTTATCAGCTCTTTTTCTGACCACTTCCTCAGTAACTGGCTTCTCATCTCTTCTTACTCCAGGGTCCTCTATTAGGCATTTTTCTTCTTAAATTATTTTCTAATCAACTTTTATACATGTCATTCATTCTTATTAAAAAACTTTTCATTACTCTCCATCAAGAGGAAAATGCCTAAATTCCTCACTAGCTGGACTCATTTCTGAAGTCTTCTTCAGACACCCAGTTTTCCCAACTTTCCACAAAACCATGCCATGTCCTTTTATGTGCTGTTCCCATTATCACAGATACTTTGCATCCCTTCCCTCCTAAACTCCTAGTCATCTTGCAAGAGACAGCTCAGATGTCACCTCTTTAATTCAGCCTTTCCAGATTACCCCAGATAGAAATTAAGTTTCCTCTTCTATTCTCTATGAACATGTAGCAGATAGAGTTATAATTACTTGTTTACGTATCTGTTCTCCTGGCAATGATCAAATCATTCATCTTTACAAACTTGTAGGCTAATACCTGAATAGCTGCTCAATAAATGTCTGATGGAAGAATGAATGTCCTGACTTTTAAGTAACAATTTGAACTTTCTATAAGCTTAAAATAATGTAGAACATATTTTTGCAATTAACATTTATATCAACATATATGCCAAGGGTAAAAGAATACTTTATATTCATTTTAGCTTTCGTTTAATACTGAGTAAAAATATAATGTTATGTGGAAAGACAGGCCCAAAATAGGATACTTTCTTTATACTGAAAGAAAGCTGCTCACCAAAGGCAAGGAAAAGATTAGAAAAGATCACCTTTAAATAACCTTTCATCACAATTATCCTTGTTATAGAATTAAGACAGAGAAAACTTAAACAAATCTTCCAGTGTTAATGGAACAGTACAGATCCAGGCTTTATTCACAAAAAAAGAATTTTTAGTCAAGTGGTCTGTAAAAGAAATTCAGTGGCTTGATTCTTAAAGCAGGATTCCAAGTCATTCTCTTAAACTAACTGTTGAATAACCATGAAAAGGAAAGAAAGCAAAAAGTGATAAGTTTCTGAAAGTGAAACAAGTTATGCTTAATGAAAGCGTGTTTCAATCCTCTGTTTGGACAAGGGTTATTAGGATGCAGTAAGGTTAAGTCCAGGGAGGACATGTGGGATTCCCACATAGATAAGAGAAAAACCACAGGGGCTCGATCAAAATAAATGTAGAATTATTTTGATATGCCTTTATGTTCCACTTATATTCTGATTTTAATGTGCTACAAATATTCATCAGAATCTCCTGGAGGGTTTGTTAAAACACACGTTGCTGTGCACTACCCCTATACTTTCTGATTCAGCAGTTCAGGGGCTGGGCCTGAAAATTCCCATGTGATGCTGATGCTGATCTAAGGAACACACTTTTGAGAAATCACTGATTTAAAACAACCACTTGGGGCTGGACACAGTGGCTCAGACCAGTGGCTCACACCTGTAGTCCCAGCACTTTGGGAGGCCGAGGAGGGCGGATCAACAGTTCAACACCAGCCTATCAACACGGTGATACCCCATCTCTACTAAGAATACAAAAATTAGCCAGGCGTGGCAGCGTTCACTGTAATCCCAGCTACTTGGGAGGCTAAGGCAGGAGAACTGCCTGAATCCGGGAGGCGGAGGTTTCAGGGAGCCGAGATCATGCCACTGCACTCTGGCCTGGGTGACAGAGCAAGACTGTCTCAAAAAAAACAAAAACAAAACAAAACAAAACAAAACAAAACAACCAAAAACAAAAACAAACAAAAAAAAAAAACCACTTAGAATTCTTCAGCTAGTACAGATGTACTTCTTAAATTTATCTGAGTTATGCACAACCACATCTATTCATTTTAGGCAGTTTGGAGATAAATCTATGAAGCCCCACATGTCTGGGAATAATAGTACACAGCCCTATTTGCTAGGATTAGGCAAATCTATCATGACAAAACAGGCACAAAAAGGGCAGTACATTTTTAAAAATTTTATTGATTTAGTCTGAGACAGAGTCTTTCTCTGTCGCCCAAGCTGGAGTGCAGTGAGGTGATCTCAGCTTACTGCTCCTCCTGGGTTCAAGCAATTTGGACTACAGGCACGTGCCACCATGCCCGGCTAATTTTTGCATTTTTAGTAGAGACAAGGTTTCACCATGTTAGCCAGGCTGGTCTCAAACTCCTGACCTCAGGTGATCTAACTGCCTTGGCCTCCAGAAGTGTTGAGATTACAGGTATGAGCCACCATGCCCGGCCTCCTTTTTTTTTTTTTTTTTTTTTAACTTGAATGCCCCAAGTTATTATCATGGAGAAGTAGCCCAAAATTCATTTCCCATTTGTCCTTAATGACCAGATAGAACTAAGGACTAGGTGTTAGGAGGTAAGAAGAATGGATGTAACCCATGGGAGTTATTATTTTATTTTTTTGAGACAGGGTCTCACTCTGTCACTATCACCAAGGCTGGAGTGCAGTGGCGCAATCTTGGCTCACTGCAGCCTCAAACTCCCAGGCTCAAGTGACCTCCTGTCTCAGCTTCCTGAGGAGCTAGGACTACAGGCACGCACCACAACACTTGCTACTTTTAAAATTTTTCTGTAGAGATGGGGTCTCATTTGTTGCCAAGGCTGGTCTCGAACTAATGAGCTCAAGAGATCCTCCCACCTCGACCTCCCAAAATGGTGAGATTACAGGTTTGAGCCATCGTAGAGATGGGGTCTCATTTGTTGCCAAGGCTGGTCTCGAACTACTGAGCTCAAGAGATCCTCCCACCTCGACCTCCCA